TTATGAGATTTTTCCATGTTAGGAGTAGCAATAATTTGTCCATTTTCATTATTGTAAGGCTCAGCTATATGCACATGTCACCATTTATATATCCACTATACAGCCAAAATGTGAGTGTTTCCAGCTGGGAGCTACTACAAATAATGTCACTATGAACATTCTTATAAATGTCTTCTGGTGCACGTAGGTATACATTTCTGCTGATTTAGGAATGGCATTGCTGGGTCATAGGATATGTGTTTGCTAAGTTTCAGAAAATACTGCCAAAGAATTTTCCATCAAAATTTGCTAATGTTCATCTCACCAACAGCATGGGAAAATTCCCATTAGCAACATTTGATATTGTTAACTCTTTTTCAAACTTCATTAATCCAGTGGATATGCAGTAGTATTTTATTGTGTATTTAATTTTTATTTCCCTGTTGGCTAATGAGGTTGAGAGCCTTTTTATGTTTATTGGTCATTTAGGTACCTTCTGTGAAGAAGTTCATGCCTTTGGCCACTTATTTTATTTTTTTTTCTATTGGGTGTTTTGTATTTTTCTTTTTGATCTGAAAGTGTTCTTTATATATTTTGGATAGAAATCAATTGCTACCTATATGATTGCAAATATCTTCTTTCACACTGTGGCTTATTTTTTCACTCTTAATGGTGTTTTTGATGAGCAGAAGTTTGATATCACCCCATTTATATAACTTGTATTTTATGATCAGTGCTTTTTTATGTTCTATTAAAAATATCTTTCCTCCTCCAAGGTCATTCACATTTTATCTTATGTACCTTTAAAACTTTATTGTTTTACTTTCACAAGCAGTTCTATGATCTATGTGCAAGTTATTCTGTGTATGATGTGAGGCATGGGGCCAATAGTCACCTTTATCTCTGTGGCTACCATTTGTCTTGGCATAATTTATTGAAAACATCACTTTCCTCCAATTGCTCTGCAGTACATTCTTTATCATACATCAAGTTTCCATATATTTGTGAAATTTCTTTGAACCCTAAACTGTTCAACTGGCCTATTTTTCTTTTCTTGCTTTAGTGCACTGACTTAATTTCTGTGATATCTGGTAAGATATGCCCTCCAATTTTGTACTTCTTTCTCCACATTATCTTGGCTATTCTTGGACCTTAGCATTTTCATATCCATTTTTAAAATTTGCTTGTCAATATCACAAATACATGCTGGGACTTCCATTTAGATTACACTAAATCAATACATCAATTGGAGGAGGATTGGCACTTTCAACAATACTGAGTCTACCTACCAGCCCCTGAACACTGATCATTGAGTTAAGATGCAGGTGAACACTGTCCTAATCACTGTGCTGAGCTCAGAGGTGGTTCTTGCTCTGGAGAGATTTACAGATAAATGTGTAAACAAATACATAAACACAAAATATAATGGAAAGTAATAGCTTCACCATTGTTATAAAGTATTAATATTTACTAAGTGCCCACTATAAGGACTTAATATGTATTAATTCATTTATATTTTGAGGTAAGTGTGGTTATTAAGCAAATAATGTAGATATTTTTATGTAAAAGTATATTGTGTTTTTGAGCTTTAATATAGATATGATTTCTGACAGGCCTTTACAAATATGGAAAATAACTTCCAGATCTCTTTATTTATTTTTTTTTTTTTTTTTGGTAATGGGGATTGAACACAGTGGTACTTTACCACTGAACTGCACCTCCAGTCCTTTTTATTTTTTATTGTGAGACAGGATCTTGCCAAGTCGTTGTGATTCTCCTGCCTCTCAGCCTCTGGAGTCCCTGGGATTACAGGCATGCGTAGGTCCTCCTTATTCAAGGATCTTTGGAGACTCAAGAATTACTGAACTTGATGATTGCAGGTTACCAATGAGGAGGAAGAGAATTCAATGACTTCTCAAAAAAGAGTGAAGTTACAAGTCTCAATTATTTTTATTTACTTTTCAAAAAATGCTCAACACACTTTTTAAGAGAGCTGAGAGACACATTTAGATAAGCATCTTAAAATATAAGGTAAGACTACAAAAGCAGTGTAACAGGTTTCCCTGCATCACTTGTAAACTGGATTAGAAGGCAATCCCCAGAATTTCAGAAATGTTAGTTTATATCAGGATAAATGCCTTGAACTATAAGCAAGGCACCTGGATTCCACTTGCCATCTTGCGTGGTCTGATCATGAAGTCTCTCCACTTCCGGATATCAGAAGCCCCATCCCAGAAGGCAAGGGGTTCAATCAGGTCATCTTTAATATCCTCTCCAGCTGTTCTGTTGTAATGCCAGGAAATCAGAGTAACAAGTTCCAGGCTGCTTGGGGTCAGGGGATTTTCGAACCTTTGTTCAATGTATGCAATGTATGGTACTTTAAAAAATTTGTCTTCCTTTTTTGAGTCTTTTTTATTTTTTTAGGTAAAGAGTTTTTATTGTAAATCTCACAAATCAATCTCATTTCCAATTACCTTCCCTTTCCCTCTCCCTGATCATTTGCTCATATATATATATGAAATATATATATCTCCCATCATGTTCTTCTGCATATTTAAGTATATTTTCCTATTTAACAGTGTCTTCATCATTACATTTTTTATTTCTTACATTTATTTACTTATTTAGGCTTCTGTTTTAAGTTTCTTCAAGGTCTCTTTGGAGTTGTAGATGGTAAAAGCTTCACCCCCTCTCCACAAGATTTACCACCCTGATCTAAACCCCCCTACCCTGGCTGAGTTCTAGGACCTTGGAAAGATGGGGGGCAGAGCCCAGCTCCAGCCTCCCCTTCCCTTGGAAGTGCTGGAGCTTCAGGTGTCAGATCTATCGCAGCATTTTGTTTGGAGCTGAGTTTGGCCTGGATGGCTATGGTGACACATTCATATGGCCACAGGACTAAGGTCTCTGGTTCTTGGCTCTGGCTTTTACCCTTGTTCTTGGCACCAGCTTTCCTCAGGCATCTTGGTGCCAGAAGAAAGCCAGGCTGAGTGGGTTCCCACTCCTGCCCTGGGCGGCTTCAGCCAACAATTGCAGGGCAACATCTCTCCATGGGAGGCCTGTAGGTATGTTTAACCTTGATGGGGGTCCCAGAAAAAGAGCACCCAGACTTTATGGAGAAGTCAGAGGAAACATCACACAAAAGATGAGAATCTAGTTGGGTTCTGAAGTTTGCCAGGAACTGAGCAAGTTGGACATTCCAGACATATCAGCAGTATATGAAAAATCCTTTAGGGTGAACGGATCGGGCTTTCCAGGAGACTGCCAGTGAGTGAGTCTCAGGACCTCTGTGGTGGCTGGGAGGGGGAATAGGGTAGGTGAAGCTGGAGAGGTGGAGCCTGGGCCCTTTTGGCCTGTGGAGTTTGTACTGAAAGCAGAGGCTGCTTGTCCAGCTTAGGTTGGGTTTCCCAGAAACTGCCTATATTCATTTTGGAGGGCTGTCAGATGCATTACCACCAACCAATGATTTAAAACAACAGAAATTTATTTTCTCATAGTTCTAGTGGCTAGAAGTGGAAATCAAGATGTGAACAGAGTTGGTTCCAGTTTGAGGAATTTGGAAGACTAAATGCTTCTCCCCATTTATATATGATAATTATGTAAGTGATATAGGAAATATTTTTTAAAGTTTAAAAAATGAATAATCAGCCAATACTCACAGAAGATCCATATCATGATGATATATCCAGTATGTGAACCATGGGTAGAATATTAAACTGGAGGGGAGGGACTTTCAATTTTGGCACTAAATTGGCCCCTGGATGGTTTAATGGCTCTGAGTATGTCTGTGGACCTCTTGGTTTCGTATCTGTCAAATTTGGATTGGAAGACCAGACTGGAGGATACTTGGGATCCACTGAAGTTCTAATAGTCTATAAATCCATAACTAAAGTCCAGCATCTTAGCACTTTAATTCAGGCAGCAAAGTAACTTATACCCAAATTTACATCGTTTTGAAGAAATTTGAATTGAACATCTATTCGATGCTTGGTACTGGGTAGTAAGATACAAAGGTAATAAAAACACTAGCCACTCTCCTTCATTCACTCACTATCCAGTGGGAAAGACAGGTTAGCAGAGAATTTCAATTCAACAACAACAACAACAAATTACAATAAAATATTTCCATCTCAAGAGTTTTAAAACCTAACTGGAGGGCAGAGGGTGGCCATCATTGCCTTGCTGAGAAGGCCCTTGAGCTAGATTTCAATGGAGAAACAGTTTTCTTAGTAGATATGGGAAAGAGATGTATAGTATAGTCACAATGCCAGTTGTTATAACAAATGGCCCCTCACAATGTAAGTGTATATTCCATTCATGCAAAATATAATATGGATATTTTTGGTCAGTGGGTGATTCTTTGAATGCTAATTTAGAAACCCATTTTCCTTCCATCTCTGACCACTTCCCTGGGCTATCAGAGTCCTCTGAAGGATCTCCTGAATTCAGCAGGCAGAGGTGAGAGAGTGAGAGTGGAGGATCATGGGAAAGTCTGTCAGGGCCAGACTTGGAAGCAGCGTCTATCATGTCTGTCCATGGCCGACTTGGACACATGCAGACCTACCTGCAAAGGAGGCTGGGAAATGGAGTTAGTGGTTTCCACGAGAAAAAGGAAATGTGTTCCATAGAACATGGAGTAGCCTGCGCTGCAAAAGGCATACTAAAGGAGTTTGTGAGAGTCTCTCAAGCCAATCTAATGGAAGCATAGAGATCATTGTCCAGTTCCAAGTTTCCAAGGAGGGATTATCAGTATCCATCTGGGGTTACTGAGAGAGAGCTCACCCCAGCCATGGTTGGTTCAAGAATTTTCAGGTGAGAGAGCAGATCAGGCATTAATCAGGTTCTGAAATGTCTGAGGGAGCCAAATGGCAGTAGGTTTCTACTCCACAGGTAAGTTCCATTGTCCTCGGCCCCTCAGCCCCACAGGGGTGAACGTTGATGGAGAGCCCCGCCCATCCCATTTGATAAATGAAGCCCAATTGATCCCTCTGCTTATAAGATGCTCTTTTTTTTTTCTCTCACAGTGACACTTTCAGCTGCTCCCCCCTCCTACTTCAGAGGCTTCACATTGATTGCCCTCAAAGAGAACAGAGAAGGTGATAAGGAAGAGGACCATGCTGGCACCTTCCAGGTAGGAACCCCTAGGGGGTTTCCAGCAGTCCTCCTGCCCTGGCAGGTGGGCGCCAAGTGAAAGGCGGACACACTGAGGAGTGAAAGGAGAGGGGCAGTGTCTCCAGTGACTTCTCACACAGCTCTCTGACTACTGGCCCGGTGGGCCAGCTCCATGTGAAAGACCATCACGGAGGAGGTGGCACAAACCTTTCTTAGTGAGGTTGGCCACCCACAGGGTTCGCAGTGTCCTGGCAGATCACGCTGCTCTGCTGCTCTTCTCTGGGCTCTCGGTGCCCTTGGCAGCGGGCAGCCAGTGCATTGAGTGCACTTGGAACCCTGGCTGGGCCCTGCGGTTTCCCCTGAGCAGGCATTTTATGATTGACTGGTAATTCTCAAGTGTAAACGGAGCAAGAGCCCAGGACAGCCAGACTGGAGGGAGTTCAAAGCACAGGAGAAGGACTATTAAGGGAACGTAGGGATTGATTTATGAGGGAAGATTAAAAGAATTACACATGCTTTGCTTGGCTAAATGAACAGGGCTGAGTTTAAGAGGTGGTAATAGTCTTTGAATGTCAGTCCTCGCAAAGCAGTCTCCTCAAGGCAAGGCTTCCTTTGACTTTGTACAAAAGGGCACAGCGAGAAGAAAGTGGGTCAAGAGAAGAAAGGGAATCTCAAAGGCAAGGGCCTGACAGTGAGTCATATTTCACTGTGGAATATTCTTCCAAGGGAAGTGGCGGGAACATCAGCCCTCTCACAGGCTTAGGAAGGGGCCAGCAAGTTGTCAGAACACATCCCAGAAGGACTGGGGTAATCCTAGCGGGGAGGCTTGGCCAAATTTGCTGCAACCATTTCTGGTCTCTGATTTCCATTGTTCTGGAATTCATTTTTGTCTGGTATTTGCAAATTCAGAAGGGAAAAAGAAAAACCTTTAGGGAGAATGCTTACACTCATAGCTGGCTGCTGGGAATACTGGTACCATTTATGGGTTCCTCAGAGGACACTACCTCGAAATATCTTCCCATCCAAAGGCATCCTTTTAATCCTTGGGGCCAGGTTATAATTTTTCATCCTATGATTTAAAAACTTTTTTTTCTGTTGTCTGGGATTCTAGGCTTTCTGGCCTAGTGAGACTGTTAATTTTGTGTTTAGTGTCACATCCTCCTATGGCAAGGAAATTCTTTTTGTGTATCCAAAAGAGCACCTGGTAATACTAGTGACAGCCTGTGCTTGTTGAATACTTACTATATGCCAGGCACCATGCTAAGGGCTTTACCTTGTCTTAGTTTGTCTTTACCTTAACTTAGTTTAATTGGCTTACCTTATCTTTGTTTAATTCTCAAAACAGCCCTAGTATTATAGGAACTATTATCCACATTTTCAAACCAGGAAATTAAATCACTTGCCTAAGCCTTCAGCAAGCAACATGGCCAGCTCCATCACACTGATTCCAGAGACGATCTGCTCCCTACAATACCGAACTCACTCCTGGCACAGGTGTGTTTGCACAGTGTATCACCGAGGTTGCCATTACAGGGAAAGGGAGATGCAGGCCTGCTTCCTACCTAGAATTCATTAAAGTATAATCCTTCTGGCTTTGTGATAATTTGCCTGGAGGTGTAGGTAATTTATCAGATTTTGGTAGCTGAAAGACCTATGTACCTGAGTAGCAGGAGAGGTAAAGGTCTAAGAAAAGAATACATGTATTGGGGTGGGGTATGAACTTAATCTTCACCAAAGCAAAATTGATTGGCTTTATGATCACCCTTACCATATAGACCCAAAAGAATTGAATGCAGATTCTATTGCCGAAGTAAGAAATTGTTTGATTTTAGAGTCAATAAGGTAGTTTTTCCAACAAATGTTCATTATAAAATAAATAAATAAATAAAAGAATTGAAAGCAGGCACAGGAACAGATGTTTGTACACTGATGTTTATGGCAGCATTCTGCACAGGAGATGGAAGCAACCCAATTGCCTGCTGATAGACAAAACCTAAGTCACTTGTTCAGTGGAATATTGGCCTCAAAAAAGGACGGAAATCTGATACATGCTACAATGTGGATGAACCTTGAAAACATGATGCTTAAGTAAAATTAGCCAGTCATGAAAAGAACAAATATTATATGATTCCACTTACATGAGATACCTAGGATTCTTTCATAGAGACAGAAAATAGAATAGTGGTTGTCAGGGCCCAGGAGAAAGAGGAAATAAGGAATTATTGTTTAATGGGTATGGAAATAAAGTTTGGGAAAATGAGAAAGTTTCTGGAGATGGATGCTGCATAGCAATGTGAATGTATTGCCATCTCTGAGTCATATCTTAAAAAGAGTAAATTTTATTATATTCTAACACACACACACACACACACACACACACACACACTAAAGATACTTAAGAGCAAGGCCATATGGAGACCTGGCTTCTTTCTTTAATGCTGTTTTGGTTTAATTCAATAAGTTGTTAGTCCCTTAACTCAATATTGTTCTGCTCGGATTTATCCTTGTCCTTGCAGCTGATAAGTGAATCCTGGGTCTTGCGCGTGGTGCACAGTGAGTAGATATTTGCTGAAGAAATGAATGAACAAATGCTTCACTTGGTGGTTTCCACAGCTCAGTTCTGTGCAGGACTGCTTCAAAGCCCCTTGTCCTTAAGGTTCCTCCTTCCTCCTCCTCTTGGAGCTTCTGTCATCTGTTCTTGTTACCTGACAGGGTACTCAGAGAATGGTCTCAGCAGCAGCAGCAGCATCACCACCTGGGAACTTGTTAGAAATGTAAAATCTCAGCCCACCCAGACTCCTGGATCAGCCACTCTGAGGGTGGAGCCCCATGGCCTGAGTTTTAACAAGCCCTCAGGGTGAATCTGGTGCCGCTGGGGTTAGAGAACTGTGGTTGTAATGAGCCGCAGACCAGCACCCTTGGACACACCTGTCTTTTTCTATCTATCCTCCCGTCACTTCCAACCAGCCCGAGAGGGATCAAAGTGGGAGAAGAGCACGGAATGCTTCGCATGCAGTGATCACGCCAGCTAACACTTCCTTAGTGCTGGGGTGCCCAGCGCTGTTCTGTGTGCTTTCCACTCATTAGCTGATCTAATCCTCGGAGCAGCAAACCGAGGTGAGCACATTATCATCCTATTTTTCACAGCTGAGGAACTTGTGGCACAGAACAATTAAGTAACGTGCCTAAAACCACCAGTTAAGTGATGAAGCTGGGATTCAAACCCAGGCAGGATGGCTCCGGGTCCCTGGCTGGCTCTCAAGGTGTACACATTAAGTGAAACAACAAAGGCCTACTATGGCCTTTTATGATAGCAGTCTCTGCACCAAGGTCTTTGTACAATTTTTCCTATTTATTTCTTATGGTGGGCTTGTGAGGTCAATTGTGTTCTCCTCACTTTTTTCAGAGGATAAAACTGAGCCTCCAAGGAGTTAAGTAAATTCAGCAAAGCAACTTAACATTGCAAGGGGCCAAAGGCTATGATGGATTTTTTCCTCACACTCCATCTTCCCACCTGAGCTGTGCCCTTGTGCACATTAAAACTCACTCCACTTGGATCCCATTGCCCCACAGACTGTGGGGGGAGGAATAACAGCCCCCGCCCATCATACTTCTCCTGTCTCTAAAAGAAATGGCCACTATCTCAGGCCTTCCTGCTCTAGCAGACAAGTGTCTTCTCTCTGTACCACAGCTGTCATCTCTGGGCCATTCATGTATTTAGCAGCACTTACTGAGTGTCTCCCATGTGCCAGGCACCACGTGAGGCAGGATACAGTGGCAAGAACATTAGACAGCATCCTGTGGTCACAGAGCTGACCTGTCCTCCTCTAGAGTATCCCTTCTGTTACTTCTATTCCTGACAAGTGAGGCAGCTCACAGGCCACCCACTAAGACAGGAGCAGCCAATGGAACCACAAATCCATTGTAATTTAAAAGAAAATAGGGATCGACATATAGTTAGATACACTCTTTAACATCCTAATTCCAAATATGACAACTTCGAGGACTTAGCCACAATAAAATTCAAATACTCTTTGAATCTGGGTAGATTACATTCTCAGCTCTAGAAAGGCCTCTGAGAATGGGTTGTTTGCTTCTACATGAGTGAATCCTTACCCAGAGAACCAAGTATTAGCTCAACAAAAACGAACTTCAGTGCTGCCTTCGACTTGGGGGGAAGGGAATGAGCTTCCTGGCACAGGGGAGAGTAAGGGTGAGGACCCCCCACCTCCCACCCCACCTACAGACTAGGGAGAGGGGGTGGACCAACTTCACCTCCAGCAGTGGGTTCCAGGGTAGCGGCATTGGCAGGCCAAGGTGGTTGTCCCTGGCTGCCAGAGAGTCTCTTAGAGCTAGCTGGGTGTACCCATGGTTAGTTGGAAGAGGAAAGGAATTCAGAGACTGTGCAAAAGTACCCACCATCCTTACATTTTGTGCTACTAAAAACTAAGTGCTCCCTGGACTGCTCTGGGCCAGCCAGCTGCCCCACTCACTGTCTTCCTTCCTCCAGGTCTCTGTTCTTTCCTCCTTTCCAAGGAAATCCTGCCCTGAACACCCTGTGTAAACCTCCACCCCGCCTAACTGAAGTAAATTAACTAGTAATCTAAATTTTACTAGTGTAGGTAACAGTCTGGCCCCTGGACTCACTCCCCTCTCCCACTCAGTTTTTTTCCATTGCAGTTACAGCCTCCTGACATGCTATTAATTCCACTTATTCTTGTATACTCTCAGCCCCCTTCTGCTGAACCATAAATTCCATGAGGATTTTTATCTGTCTCATTTGCTGCTACGTCCCCCACCCCAGCAGTGAACACACCCAGCATAGCATAGGCACTCAAATATTTATTGAGCTGAGCGTGGTGGCACACACCTATAATCTCAGCAATTTGGGATGCTGGGGAAGGAGGATTGTGAGTTCAAGACCAGGCTCAGCAACTTAGTGAGGCCCTAAACAATTTGGCAGAGCTCTGACTCAAAAAATAAAAAAGGCTGGAGATGTGGCTCACTGGTTAAGCACTC